CATAGTTCTGATAAGCGCTGTCCTTGAAAAAGAGCAGTTTCTGTCAGAGCTCTCTCAGCCCCACCAACCTCACAGGGTGTCTGTTGTGGGGAGGGGAAGGCGAAGGAGTTTGTAAACCGCTCTGAGACTCCTTTGGGTAGTGAAGGGCGGGGTATAAATCCAATCTCTTCTTCTTCTTCTTTTACCTCACAGGGTGTCTGTTGTGGGGAGGGGAAGGGGAAAAGAGATTGTAAGCCGCTCTGAGACTCCAAGTGAAGGGCGGGGTATAAATCCAATCTCTTCTTCTAATTTAACTGCCCTCTTAAAAATTTAAATGCCCCTCGAACAAAATAATTCTTGGATATGGGCCTGATAACCTTCTGTGGCTGTTTCGCCGCCAGGCCCCAATCAACATAGCATCAGCAGGAGCAGCAACAACACTCTGTGTGTGTGTGCGGGGGGTCCTGTTCCCTGCCTAGCAAAATGCAGGTTCTGCTTTGTGGCACACGGCAGCTTCTCCCTTGCTATTGAGGGTTCTTACAAGAACAGACACCGGTCTCAGATTTTAATTCTCCTTGGAAGCTAATCAACACGCCATTTTTTTTTTACTTCAACACTCCTTGTTTGCCACCCTCTCGTTATGACAGCAACACTGGTGTCACCACAGGGGGGATCCATGTGTCAAAATTATACAAAACAGGAACAGCAGTGAAAGTAGACAGTTTATTGATCGTGCTATTAATAACGGCACCCTCGTGAACCACGCCGATTGTTGCCTGGTTTTGTGTCTGTTCAAAAAGAAAATTAAAAAAAATATATATAGTACAATAGTTTCCCAATGAAGCTGGGGGAGAAAATTTCCCTTGCACAACTTATGATCAAATTTGTAAAGGAATAAGGGGAGCTGTGGTGGCTCAAGTGGTTAAGACGCTGAACTGCAGGCTGTGGAAGGTCAGTAGTTCAGCAGTTCGAGACCCGGGTGCCGCGTGATGGAGTGAGCTCCCGTCTCTAGTTCCAGCTCCTGCCAACCTAGCAGTTCAAAAGCAAGACATTGCAAGTAGATAAATAGGGACCACTTCGGTGGGAAGGGAACAGCCTTCCGTGCGCCTTGGTGTTTAGTCATGCTGATCACATGACCACAGAAACGTCTTTAGACAGCACTGGCTCTTTGGCTTGGAAACGGAGATGAGCACCGCAACCCTAGAGTCAGACTTGACTGGCTTTCGAGCAAGGGAACCTTTACCTTTACCTTTAAGGGACAATACCATCTTCTGGGAAGTTCTCAGCCATATCCCATTGATATAAACAGGACCTGTTGGGGAATTCTTGTTTCAGTGAGCAAAAACATTTCTGGTGGATTACGCTCATAGCATGTAAGAGACACACTTTACATTATCTGGAGCTGGAAATCAATTAAGGCTCCACCTGGAATTAACTGAAGATAAAGGATGGTGAAATCACACGTCCTGCCATGGCCAAAGCCCCATTGGCCCATAACCCTGAGGCGTATAGGACTATGTCTTATTCTGGGTAAATTATGTGGTTTCAGCATTCAGAGGCAGATCCAAATCAGAGCTTGGTCATTTTTCTAAAGCCTTGAGGCTGGTAAAAGCATTTCCTGGCTAGCATTCTTGCTCTCTCCTCCTCCTTAAACCACTCTGGACATAAGTAGGGTTGAAGGAGACACCGGCAACCTTTCATTTATCATGCAATGAACAGAATTCCCGCGGTCTTCACATCATGAGTCAGAACACCAGTAGGACAGTACCTGCCTACAAGTGGGGTTGCTAATGGAACCAAAGAAAGGGGAGTTTGGGGAGTGGAGGGATCTTAGTGGGGTACAAAGCCACAGAGTCCTCTAGGGGTGCCAGGTCTGATCGTTCTGCCGGCAGGGGAGGGGAGGAAGAATTTAAAGGTTGCTACTGCAAAAGTTGTCATGTGATTTTAAAACAGCTGCTAAATCGTTTTGCCACACACAGAGTAGTTTGTCTTCGCCTCAAAGTAACCAGGATGATTTTGCTTCTGGAGAGAGGAAGTCCTGATTAAATAAGGGGGAGATCAGTTAGTCTCTTAGAGCTGAAAATTTGGGACAATCAAGCAAAATATGACCCACAGAGTTAAAGGTAGAATCATACCATACTCTTCAGATCACAGAGTTCTGCCCAAAAACCAGAGTGTCACCGCCCGCCCACGTCCCCAATGTGCCTTCGTCACTTCCGGTTTTCATAGGCACATTGTGATGATTTCCAAGTTACTGCTAGTAAGAGAGGGTGATGGGGGGGGG